ATTTATATATGTGTGTACAAAACACTGGAAATGCTCGGCATTATAAACTACTAAACGCGTGGTGGCAGTGAAGTGTTTTTTCTCTGAGCCAGAAGAACTACTCTCGCGGTTTCTCCAGGTATTCTCGCGATATGTGGTTGCTTGAAACCCGCCCATGAGCCTATGCTCTCCCTCTTTCTAGCCGGCGCCTGAGAATGGGTACGTGTTTTCAGATTCTGGTCGCTGGCACAATCCGTCTTCATCTGCGCTGTCCGATGATGCTTTTAATTAAACTCACGCAGTGCTAGATCACACAGGTAGATTTCAAGTGATATAGTGGCAAATTGAACGAGTCAATGCCTTTAAAAACGTTTTTACGGGAAGAGATTGGGAAAGTGGCTGGAGACATTGCTCAAAATGGCTGCGCGCATGGGGTACTATACTCTCAAACAGCGTTAAGAGTGCTAATAAGGCTGGTAGTTGTACTCCGAGGCGTGTACGGCGCGAATTTGGTAGATAAATGATTTTGTGGTAGAGAAGTGTAATTTGGATGAGAAACTAGCTAGCACCAGAGGCTAAACGAGTAGTAGATGCATGTCGACCACTGGAGGCTGCATGGCCAGCTAACGAGCTGAAAATTAGGCTTGGGTAACGTTAGCTTGTAAATGTTAACCAACTAACGTTTGCTTAATATTTCTCGACACAAAGTTTCAACTAACTACCAATGTGTTATCTGTGAAGTTGGAGCTAATGACGTCTAAACTGTTAGCTTATCGCTAATCTTTTAAAAGCAATTCTTACGAATCTGCTGTTTGACACCTCACACATTGTGCTGACACATAAATGTTTTGTTTTCTTCAAAAAGCTAGTAAGATGTTGTGTACTCGCCCTTGTTTCACACCTGGGTGATTCTCTTCCATGTTGCACAAAAATAGTTCTTCGGCAAGATGACCGAGGGTTGTGTTCTTTCTCTGGGGAAGTTGTACAGGTGTGGAACAACATGAGGCCAAGTAAATAATGTTTGGTTAAATTATGCGTTTGAGTGTGTATGATGAATCCAATTAATCCGAGTTTTCATGCGGATAAACACCTTGGAGAACTGAACACTCAAGTATGCTGTGAAGGGGATTGATTTAATTTCATTCAGATTTGTTTCTAATGCGTCTCGATCTCTACACTAAAGGTATCTCAAGGGACAACTGGCACAAACGCCGCAAGACTGGTG